TCTATATAAATTGAACGCCACCGACCCAGGCACCTAATTGTAAGTACAGCGCGGCAAAGTGAAGTCTCGCCTCCTCCGACTTGGTAGACCCCTCGGAGCCATTTTGTTTCTCCAGGTACTCGATCTCTATTATATATCAAACTCTGTCCCGTTTTGCTGAACGTCCCCGAAAACGAACACACTTGAACGACAGGCGGAGCCTCCCAGAACTCCACAGCGTCCGCGGTCACATCGCGCGGTCCGCGTCACTGCTTGATGGGCTTCTTGAAGACCACTTCCGGCTTGCGTATTGGACGTGATACGCGCCGTTCTATCCTGAGGGCCCTGTTCGGGTCCATAGAGGGCGTGACAGCGGCCTCCGGACCCAAAGGAGTCTCCGCCATTGTTTGTCAGTTCCCCGTGCTGCTTGGCCGCCTGCCAGGCATCTGTTGCTGCTGTTGTTGCTGCTGGTGTTGCTGTTGCGAGGCGGCTGCAGCGGCAGCGGCAGCGTTCAACGCTGGCAGAGGTGTCTGATGACAGTGTGCACAGTGCAAACAGACCGTGCAAGCGCCTAACTTCCGAGCCAGCAGGGCACGTAACTTCAGTGCTGGGCCTAACTTCATTCCCATGGGACCGGTTAGGTGGTCCTCCGAGAGAAGGGGCAACGCTGCTCCGTCGATGCGGTGTTCACGGAAATTCTGGAAAAAAAAATGGAGAATAGCTTGTGTTAACTGTTCGTGTAGATAGCTATTGAAAATAATCAAATAAAAAATAGGGAAATTAGAACATTCTTGTGGATATTTTCAGCTAATCAGAATTTTTTCCTGGGATGTCTGTGTAGACATCTTTCGAAAATGATTGAATAATGAAAGAAAGGTCGTTTTTTTTACTAAGAGAAAGCTAGAATATTTTCTGGAGACTTTCGTTAATTAAAAATTAATTCGAATATAGGTAACGTTCTTTGTCAGTTGAATAGGAGAACGTATAGGGTGACAGGGGAGTAAGGAGATATTTTTGAAGATTCAGTCGAGATTATTTCTCTAGTTGAAAATTGTCGCGTTTCTGAATGCGGAAAACTTACAGAATCAATCTCAAGGAGGATAGAAGCTATAATTAAAGACGTAATGAAGTATTAACTTTACTTCGCATAAAGTTATCACGAAAAAACATTTACTTAATATTCGCTCAGTTATCATGTCATTGTTAGCTCGGAAGTAACTGCTGCCTCATTCTGTTTACATCTGTATAAATGACCGACATGTGACTACTGATGCGTGATATTAATGCAACACTGATAACTTGCAATGTCTCATATAGGTCAAAGTTCGAAGTTAAAAATTATCACAATTGTAACTAAATTAAAATATCTGTCGTTCTATTTCTTTATCTACATATATACGTACTTCGTACATTATCTGCATGCGTTACACATGACTAACAATTTCTAATTTGTAACTGTATCTTTTTAAACAATTGAAAGCCAGACAATTCTTCAACTTCTTCAACACTTTATCTGTACCTAATTTTGTACAGAATGTTTTGCTCATTCTAACCCTTCAACCCTTTCATCGTCCTGTTTCTCTTCATATTTTCGCTTGGCACTAATTCCCTCCATTTCAAATTTCTCAAGTTTCCTTGGAGAATTTAGAACCATGCAATCCTTCAACTTCTTCATCACTTTGTCTGTACCTAATTTTCTCTAGAATGTTTTGCTCATTTTTCACTCATTTGAACCTGTTTGGAGAATTTGAAACTAGGCACCCCTTTAACCCTTTCTTTGCTCCATCTATGTCCAATTTTTTTTTAAAGTTTCTTCGTTATTTCTGATCTTAGAGAATTCAAGCGAAGCAATCCTTCAACCTTCTCGTTGCTTTATCTGTACCAATTTTCTCTAGAAATTTTTTTCTCATTTCAACACTTCAACCCTTTCATCGCCCTATTCCTCTTCATATTTTCACTTGGCACTAATTCACCCCATTTCGAATTTCTCAAGTTTCCTTAGAAAATTTAAAACCACGCAATCCTTCAATTTTCTCAACACTTCATCTATACCTAATTTCTAACACAATTATTTCCACGTACCCAATATTACCTTCATATATTTGCTTCGCACTAAGCCTCTCCATATTCCACATTCTCACCTATTCTAACAAAATTATAAATCAGACAACCCGTTCAATCCTCTCGTCGTCCTGTCAGCACCCAATTTTCACCACAATTTTCGACTCAACGCCAACTTTCCCCCGGTTTTCCACCTCCTCGAACCAGCTCGACACAAAGCAGGAACAAACAAACACGCTTTCGTTCCACCAATTAAACCTGTCCAGCTCACTGTGCTCATTCACGTTGCACGAACAATGACGCCCACGCGCGTGCACCGAACGTCTCTGAATCACCGACCCACGCGTGTTCCTGAAACGCGTGCCGCGACCCTCGACCCCTTGGAAATGTGCTCGAAGGTCGTGCGTTCCACCGCGGAATCTCGCCGAGGCGCAACCAAGCCGCGGCCTCAGCGGTGTGGAACGCCGCGGCGTTCGCTCATTAAACCTCCGTTCCGCAAAAAAGCCAGTCGAGCCACGGATAGAATCGCGCGCGCGCTGCGCGGCTGGACGGAGAGGAGGCGGAACGGTACGAAGGAGGCGGAAGAAGAGGAAGGCAAAAGCAGGGGGG